CATGGCTTTCTAGGAGCGGGGCCTCCTGAAGTCTCCATTCTGGGAGGCAAAAGGACAAGTGGACTCTCACCATCAGACCTTTAACCTTTAAGGCAAGGCCAAGCAGAGCATGCTGGCACCTCTTTCTATGCTCTGGGAGGAAAACACATCAGGAAGTGTCCCAACAGCACACTGGTTGAGAAGGGTTTTGTGGTGAGCACTGGGTTTTGATAACTGCCTTACAGCAGTGACTTTATTGTGTGGCATTACCGAGACATCTTGCTTGGAGATAGTTTATTCAAAGCAGCAGCATTGTTCTTTTTCCTCTTCCTTCTCCATCTGCTATTGGATTCACAGGGGAGGTGGCGAGAGCTGGGAGCAGAGAGGAAGCCACGTAGGCATTCACTCCTCACTGCATCACTTTGAATAACAAAACAGATACACACACACACACACAGATACTGAAACTTGGAATTCCGATACGAGCAGTGCTGAAGGTCTTCCAACAAAGTGAAGATCGTTCTGTTTCCTTTCAATTTTGGCAGGGAAACTGTCTCTTTTCAGCAGCTTTACTTAAGAGTTCAAAGTGTTCTGCTACCCAGCCGACGTGCAACAAAGCCTCTGCAGACTTCTGACTCGGAGTGACTCCAAACGCTGCTTCTGTGCATGGGAGCACCTGGCCTGAAGGAGAGCAGTGGTCGAAGAGATCAGCTCCCCGTTTTGCAGCAACTGGCTGCTGAGTTCTGGAGCACAGCAGCACAGTAAAAGCAAAAGGCAAGCTGACACTAAACATTGGTGACCACCCCTGGACTTCCCCAGAGCAAACACCTCTCCGATCACCTTGCTCCACAAGCTCCAGATGCTCTCTCTGGTTAAACCAAGCTGGGCACAGCCGTGTAACAGTTACCAGACCTCCTCAACTAGCAGAGCATCCTTCAGCTCCCTTGAGAAATGTCTGTCCCAGCTGATAATGTCAAGCGGCAGAGCTGAGGACAGCCAGCTACTTCCAGCTCCTGTTCCGTACCGGCCACGGAGACGGGAGGGTTTAGCTGCAGCTCCCCCAAGGAGCAAGTGGATCACGGCGTGCTCTGACCTTTGGATGTTTCAGAAGATGCATGCTCAGCTGCGTTGGCCGTGGTTTGACTGCTGCAGGGAACGTCACAGGTTCCAAGTTTTATTAATGAGGAAAATAATACGCGCTGTCAACGGCTGCTGCACGGAGTGAACACAACAAAGCCCGCTCCGGAGAGCAAATGAAATCTGCTGGATTCGTTTCTTGCCCTGGCTCTCCTGGATAAACAGCAGGGAACTCAACACCACATTGATCAGCTGCTTCAAGACAAACACTGATCGCATTGCCCTGGCAAGAATGTGTCGCACAACAGCAGCACGGCCAGGCAGGGTCATGCAGAGGAGCAGGGATTCGCTCCTCTTCCATTTCCCCTCCCTCCACCTCCCAGCCCAGATAACACCAACACAGCTGCACCATTTAACACCAGAGCTATTTAACCACATTATGTTCACCATGTTCTGTAGGTAAATGCTTTCCCCTCCCTCCAACATCCTGCTAGTACAGATGCACTCGAGGCCCTGTCCTAGAGAAGGGGAACCAGGCTGCTGAGCTGGGTCATGGTTCCCTCCTGCATGTTCAGGAGGGTTTTTTCCTTTATCTCATCTGCTTCCTCAAATACACAACCCAGCGCAACACTCAGCTCTGCTTAAAGACCACTTGGAGAAATACTCGGCGTTTGACTGTTTCTCTGATGTTAAGGCAAGAATGTTTGGGAAATCACAGAAGCTACAAGTTAAAAAAAAAAAAAAAAAAAAAAAAAGCACAGCACCAGTCATTGCTACATTTGTGTTCTTCACTTTGTTTCTGATCATCTCAAAGGATATCAGAGAGAAACAACCTTACACCACTTCACTCTGTGCTTTCCACTAAGCACAACACTTCAACTTGGCTTAGGAACAGTTTTGTTGCCTTTAGACTTCGTCCTTCTGTTTAAAACAAGTCACCTTTTGCAGACACAAAATCCATGAGATCTTCAGAAAATGCTGATTCCAACAGTTCTCCCAATGTCTCCGTCCCTCCTCATCTCTATCTTTTGCTTGAGCTACATTATTGTTACCAGAAGCAAAACCAACCCTAACAATTCATTCCTCATCCAGTTACTCAGCTTTGTTTCCCTCCTTTCTGCTGTATTACAATGCGATCGTCACCAAAAGCAAATAGGTCAATATGTAAAAAGCCTGAAATAAAAACATAAAAATGTTTTCAACAGCTCCTTAAACGTGCCTCCTGTTCCACCAGAAGATGCACCGTGTGTCAGACCCCACCACCACCTCGGTTTACCAGAACTGCCACTTCAGAGAGGAGCAGGAAAGCCTCTGGGCGCCGCGCACCGCACCGACCACATCCTCCCAACGCTGGCTGGTGTCTGAAAAGCTCCCAGCACCGGGTAATTGTGCTGTGTGTAACACACGTACACATTCAATGGAACTTAAACCTGAATTGGTGCTTGTTTGGGAAAACATTGCTCTATCAGAGGGACTATTTTAGTCACTCACTTCGTGGTGTTTTCTTTCAGGAAATGATGGGGCTTTGCTTGGGAGTCAGATTTTTGGTAGGCGTGTTAAAAGGCTCAGAAGCATTGCTTTAGTTATGCCTTGCAGCACGAGAGGCAGAGCGCTGGCTTCTTGCTGAAATGCAAGCTCTGAGTCATCCCAGGCAGAGGGAAACTGAAACACATCCCCATTAAGTAGAAAACACAAACAATTTTCCAGCATGAGGATTAATGACAGATAATAACTACAAATTAACTTTAATCTTTTATAAATCAAACAGAGCCCCTTATATAAATGTCACTGCAATCTCTCTAGATAAAAAACACAAAATCGAAGCAGGAAGGGAAGTGGCTCACACATTGCAGTTAACGTTCGGGACAAAATCAAACACCTCCTTCGTGGAAACACCCCAGTGTTTGTGAAATATTGCGGTACTAAGAAAGGGAGTGCAGCTCAAGGCACTGCTTTAATTTCTGAAAATACAGTTCTGGTTACTTTTGGACATGAACAGATAAATATTCTTAATCCTGACACATGAGAATTTAATGAGCTCTACCATAGTGAAACCAAATTAAGCAGGATGTTCATAAAGCAGGGGGAGAGCTTTGCTTTTCTGCTAGCCTTTTGCTGCTGCTTGAAAGAAGCCGTGCGATTGTTGAAGGGGTTAAACCAAAACTTAACTGAATGTAGGGGGGCTGCTCTTCGTAGACAGGAGGGGAAAAAAACAGAGTCAGAGACCTAATAGTGGACAATTTTGAAAATTACAGTGTGTGTCAATAATGGAGATAACAGTGAGATTCAAAAGGAATAATCTCAAATAATAGGGAAAATGAGCACCTGCCAGCCACAAAGCCATTAGTATCAGGGCTTTTATCTTTGCCACAGTTAAGTCTGGAGACGCTGACAAACTTAACAACGCAGCAAATAAAACGTGGTGAGAACCTAACTGGGAAGCAATTCTCCTCACTCAGAAAATGCTGCCACGGAGTTTGGAAACTCGTGCTTCTAGCAGGAAACTCAGGGTCCGATTGCTGGTAACAAACACTGCAAACCCAGCACAGGCTCCGTGGGGTCCAGTTGGGCTCGCAGATGCTCCAGCCTGACACATTGGCATTAAGGGACATGAGCAGAGTGCTCCTGACCAAGGAGACCCCCAGGTGCAGGATTTTGCCTGTGCAGACCACCCAATGCAATTAAATGCGCATCCTTCACAGAAGGTGAAACCAGGGGCTTGTAAAACCAGATCTGAGAGACAGACCTGGGCTGCTATGCCTTGGGAACTGGAAGGTTCCCAAGGGAACGGGTCACTCACAAGGTTTGAAGCTTTGCTGCCTGCCTCCCAAGGGGCAGAGGGCAGAAAAAGCTGTCCATGGATCCACCGAAACCTGGCCAGCGTGAGAAGACCACGATGGTACAGGGAAGGACAGGGACAGCTCTGCCCTAAAGCTGCGCGGAGAACAGGCAGTGTGTGCAGGAACAATTAGATATGCAAATAAGTGCATTGAAAATTAGTGACGGTTTTACTGTTGTCATGGAGAAAAAAAGCACCCTCCATTCTGGGTCAGACCCAAGCACTGCATTTTGTTTCCCCTCACTGGTGAATAAAGCTGCAGAGAGCACTGGAAAAGCCCAGGACCAGCACTGCCCAGCAGAGCTCCACCTGGGCCTGGAGAGCTCACGGCTTGGATGGGGACGGGAGAGCAACATCACTGAAATAAAAAACCTCCCTGCATCACCCCAGGAAGGCAAAAAAGCCCACGGCAAGCCCACGGACTCCCAGAGCTACCAGGAGGTACAGGCACAGCCAGGAAGAAGCCACCTGCACCATGCAAAGGGCAAGCTGCTCCCCAGGGGGGCACGGATGTGGGGGCAACATGGCACACGGGGTACTCAGCTCCAGGTTTCCTGATCTCCACGGGAAGATCCCGTCCCAATTCACACGCAGTCTTCACCTGGAGGCTCTGTGTATCCCTGGCCATCCCCTGTTAAATGATTGCTGCTAGGATGGCGTTTGCTTCTGCTGCAGAAATGATCGCAGCCCAGCCCAGGGGTGGGAGGGAGAGGGTGTAGAGCACAGGGCCCTGCCCTTTGGGGTCACGGTAACACAGCTCACCCCGCACCCAAGAAACCTGATCCCGTAGCAACCTCCTGTATGGGAAGTGCCCCAATCAGATTTCACTGTGTCAGGAGAAGAACAGTATTTACTCTGCATACAGATTAGTCACAAAACTGGGTCACTTCTTGCCTTTTCAGAGAGCAAAATAAAAAAAAATAAAAGCAGGGCTGCTTTTTCAGATCTTTTTGCATCTCCCCCCCTCAGTTTTAAAACTAGGTGATGGGCTGTGGTCACTCCCAGCTGCCTACGCTGATCGCAGACACCTGCCTGTGGTGAGGTTAAAGCACATTACCACCCGCCGGCCTCCCGGTTCTCAGAATTCAGCTCCTCAGCTACTTACCGGTTCTTTTCTAGCTCGTTGTGCGTAGACCTGGAAGAGAAACAAAAACTGGGATTAGCCACCTTGGAAATCTCAGCACTAAAAGTTCAGCCACCGAAAGCTGCGTACGTCCCCGGTGCCACACAGCAGCATAAAGCCAGACAACTACAGAATAAAATCCAGAGCTGTAACCTCAGCCTCCCCTGCCGAGGAGAAATTCCTTCCCTCCAAAGTCTGTGCTTACCTGGGACGTGCAGATCTGGTGCTTGCTGTACCAGATCTTTGTATCTGCCCACCACAACAAGTGCCCTGCCAGCATTCCCTCGTATAGAGGGAATGCTGAAAAGGAAACCAAGCAGAAGCAAAACGGAAGCACACAAGTTCACCCTCCTGCCTGTGATGGTAACAGTGGCAAAAACAACCAGCCAAACAAATGAAAAAGCAACAAAAACCCCACCAGACTTCAATCATTTCACAGTTTCTAACCTAACAGGTTATTAGCAGCCCAGGGAAGGTTGTTGAGGGCTATTTAAAAAGGACGGTCACTTATCCAACGTTCCCCTTTAACAGCAGATCACCTTAAAATAGGAGTAAAAGGCGCCCCAAAGCTTAATAAAAAGGATCTATTTTCTGTAATTTGGCATCACATTTCTTCCGGAGCTCTGAGAAGATTATTCTCTATCCCCCATCTGGAGAATCCCGCAGAGATTTCTACAATTAGGGAACTGAACGGAGGATGTGCTCTGAGGGAAACCCTGCCATAATTAAACGCTCCTCCAAAAAGAGGGAGGAGGAGCACCTAACAGGTGCTAGGACTTTGGCAAAGATGACGAATAAACTGTGGACGGCTGCAAAAAGCAACACAAACGATGCTTGGCTGGCTGTGCCTGCGAGCTGGGGGTAGCTGGAAGAAAGAATAAATAAAGAAAGGAAGAAAACCTGTAACTGTGTGCTTGTGCAACACACCCCGCACAGCAGGGTGAGGGGTGCCCTCAAGTCCAGGTATGTTACAGCCAAAATCCTGAAGCGCAGGGAACTCCCCCAGCAACTCCTTGCACCCGGCCTGCCGACCACAGGACACCTGAAGGGCGGCTCCCAGCAACCAGACACAAACTTGATGCGGATTTAGGCCAGAAAACAACCCCACATCTCCACCCAAAGCCTAAAGCACCACAATCCATTCATCCGGGCAACTCGGATGCAAGTTAACCCCCCGGAGGCCCCGTTACAGCAGTGCCCGGCTGTCCTTTGGAGCACGTTTGCTGCTCTGGTGTGCCCCGTGCTCCTGCAGGAGCCTTCGCAGTCATCTTGGTGCCATCAGCAGCTACGGAGCCAGAGACACGCAACGCCTTGGATTCCTGCATCGTATCGAGCCAATTATCAAGGCCAGTGCTGAAAGAACCAAGTTTGGCCCACTGCTGTGAACAAAATTAAAGCAGCAGGTTCTCCCTCCTCCTCTCACATCGGAGGCTCTTTATTACCGAGCTGCCTTCTGACGAACACCACAGCTGAGAGGGGTCACAGGTTTCTCACCACGTCAGGGAATTTGTGCTCTGACTTTTAAACCACATTGGTGGCGGAGAAAAAAAAAACAAAAACACAAGAAACAGCCCCCCTCAGACTCCTTCCTCCTGCAGCTGAATGTAAGGAAAAGAATCCCAGCAACACCGAGCGACTCCTGTGGGAACGCTGCCTCCCTTACCTGCCTGAGTCTTCCTTAGTTTTACTGGGGACACTTGGAAAAATTCACTTTTCATTTCACCTGGGGACCTGGAGAGCCCCCCTGGCTTCTGGATGAGGCCAGGCTGAATGCCCCAGCTGTGTCACTGCAACACCTTGTCCCTGCCTGCAAGGCTGAGATCAGAGCCACGCAGGCACAGACGTGCTCAGAGAGGAAAACAAGAGCCCACCGTGCCTCCCAGCACCACCTCCAGGCTGCCCAGCACCTCTGCTGCCATTCAGGAAAGGCTCCAGCACTAACTGGCTGCGGGGCTCTCCTTTAAAAGCAGCTTTCTACAGCTGTCGGTTCCTTAACGATGAATTGGGAACACCCGGGCTGGTACCATCCCTAAAAATTTCGGGAACGTTACATAAGCGGGAAAATACTAATGAATACATTTTGAAAATGGCTGGGGAAGAGATCGTGAAAGAGTTTTAGATGCTTAATGTAAAGGAGCCAAGGAAACAGCAACAGGAGCAATCCTCATCACAACTTCACCACCAAAAAGCCAGGAGAAAGGGAAGTTTATCCCCCTTTATCCCAGACACACACCAGCAAGAAGCAGGGAAGCACAACCATCAGGCATGCCAGTGTAAGGTCGGATGAACCAACCCAACCCTTCTGCACCAGTCACCGGGATCCTGCCTGCCTGCAGCCCTGGCACAAGGTGAAACATTAAGCCAGGCTGAATTCCGTCACTGCAGGAGACACCATGGATAATTTATGATGCTGTCTTTGTTTAAATAAAACCCCTCTTGCACAGGTAAAGGCGGCCAAACGTCCTCTGAGCAGGGGTAAGGCAACAAAACAAACCGTGACAGGGAGAAACAGGCTCTAAAGAGCAACAAATTCACTCATCACTACTTTGGTTTGGCTGTTTTGCTTCTAAATTGTAATTAAAATCACAAAGCTGCCCCACGGCATGAAACACAGCTGACCTTTCAGTTTTACACAGTTTCACTGGAAGGTTAAACCGTGTAAAAAGGTTTTCCCCACCTGCCCCTGTTGACACCTGCTTGGCCACCAAACTGCCCTCCTCTGTGCCTTCTCCCGTTCTCCCAGCCAAGACCCACCAGCCCTGCTGGGACCGCTGAGCTAACCTCCTGCCCCCTCCTTCACGCAAGGCTTTTCTCAGAAACGACTTCCAGTGGAAACAGCCGAGTGACAGGACAAAACAAATCCTCAGCTCCTCTCTTCTGTTCCAACTCCACCTGCGTCCACAAAGCAAAACCTTATGGCTGAAGGATCTCAGTGCTCTCGCCAGGGCTTCCGACAGCAGTGGAGCACCCCCCAAAGCACCCCCCAAAACCAAGTGCACAGCGCTGGGAGGGCTGCAGGGAAGCTCCAAGGACAGCAGTGGGTGAGGCCTTGCAGCTGCCGTCGGTGGAGCTGCAGCCGATTCACCTGGCCCAGCCTCTGGCTCGGCTTTCTGTGGCTCCGAGGCTGACGCGGTGTCGGGTTCCTCCCCAGGCCCTGATCAAAGCTGCTTGCCCAGGATGGAGTCAGATCGCTTCCAAAGTTCACATTCTCCGTCTCCAGCAGCGAAGGGGACAGAGCCGCACGGGCATCTGCTGCTGTTTGTTCATCTTTGGGGAAGGAGAAACGGCCCCGCGGCCTGTTTGCAGCTCAACGAGGGGCCGAGAGCTCCTTCGTGTGGCTCACCATGACTGCAGAAGGGCACCCACCCCTCTGCTTCTACACAGAGTCCCCAAAGCCTCCTGCAACACTGTCAAAAACAAAATGATTAAAGAAGATGTATTGCACACCTCCCTTAAACCATCACCTCCCTTAAACCATCACTTCTGTCTTTGGAAATCAATCCTTCCCTACTGTGTCAAAGAAAAGACGCCAGTCACTGAATGCTTCAAGGTGAAAAACCCCCCAGTCCAACCCAAAACGAGCCCTCGTGCCAAATGAAACAAGCCACCCCCACCAGCAGCACAAGGTGGCACCGTGCAGCTCCCTGCCAGCTCTGCTCCTGCTCCACCTGAGAGCCCTCGAGCAGGGGCTGCTCCCAGCGAGGGGAGAGCTGCCCCGGCACACACACACAAACTCCCTCTCGCCGGGCCCTGCGTGGCCAAGAGGAGCCGGGGTTGCCGAACAAGCAGCTATTCAATATTTTGTTTTCTCCTCATTGTTCCGTGCGTGGCCTCGAGCCAAGCCCTGCTCTGAATACAGAGCCCGGGGTTTTCTTACAGGCTTTTCGGCGCTCTCACCCGGAGTGGGGCTCGGCACTTCGCGTGTTTACTGTTAAGCATCCTCGATTTCCAAATGGGAAGCTAAGAAATGAAAAAAAAAAAATGTAAAAAAATCAGAGCTGCAGCTTCTCGTTTCCTCCAGCGTGCCTGTGAAGCCCCCCCCAAGGGCCTGCTTTTCTGGGCCACTTCACAAGTTCAAAGCACAGCTCCCCCCTGGTGCTCCTTGCGGCTGTGCATCCTCAGCACTTCTGCAGCTCGCAGCCCAGGCTCGTACCTTTGCACTGCCTCATTCGTCTGCCTTCAACTTCTGTGACAAGTAAAGGTCCTGCAGAAACCAAAACCACCTCCTGCCCTCCCAGCCCGCAGCTAACCACATCAGAGGGGCAGCTGCACGCGGAGCAGACACGCAGGCTGCTGTCTGTTCATCGTGGGTGGCACCTTCGCCATTTCAGCAGGGAAACCCAGGCTCACCCCCCTTGGGCACATTGCAGCTGACACCTCCTGTAACGGCTTAGAATTTGGCCAAATTATGGCAGATTCTCACAGCTCAGGAAAAAAAAAGTGTTCTCCATGCCTTTACCAAGGCAAAATTTTTAAATAAACCTTTTCAGGACACGGTAAGGAGAAGCATCAAGTATCATAACATCTCAGTATCTCTGCTGATGACCTTTTCTCTGCTGAATATTCAGCTGCATCAGGGAGCGGGATAAGGCCTGATGCTGCAGGAGGCTTTGTAGGACTGCTGTCCCAATGGCTGCCCGCAGGTCCCACGAGTCCCATGGCTCTTCCAGAACCAAAATCACTGTTGGTGATGCCTACACGGCAAAGAAAATGAATAAAAACACAGGGCAATGTTCAAATCTACCTAGAAGACAGGATCCTAAATTCTCTCTTCCTTCAATCCAACACCCCGATGCTGCTGCCTCCTGAAAACAGGGCTGGAAGAGCGCGTACACCCCGAGGTACAGAGGGCAGGAGCCGTGCAGGTTCGCTGGCGTGCCCAGACCTTGCAGCGTTTTTGTGGCCAGCTCAGGCTGGGATCCAAGGGCCCAGCAGCCCAGCCCTTTGCCCTATACCGTGCTGCTTCCCACACACCCCGTTACCCTTTCGAGGAAGGTGGTCATAGCCAGAAA